CATAGTTTTTTCCAAAGTTTGTGGTGATTTGTGACTTCCATTTGAGGCATCCACATTATTGGTGCTTGGCTCTCAAACTCCAAGGAATCAACTCACTATTAAAAGGTATGTAATTCTTCTAGCTTTTATGTTTAAAGTTCCCCATGCCATGCTAGATAGGTTATGAACCTTGGAAAAACAAATTTGCATGTATTCTTTGTAAAACATAGATCCAAGGTTTCTAGGGTTGCATGTACACCATAGGAGTGTTAGAATGCTCAAAACCCATCAGAATGATCCGGCGGATCTCCTCATCGCTAGCACTACCGCCCTCGGGGTTGTGGCACGTACCCACCATGATGTCTCTGAAACACAACACAAAAATCATCAGAGACTCGTTCGAGTATCACACTCGATTTCCCGCCCTTACATGCTCCTTAGGACCCTAAGGATTCTTACTTGGGTTGCATATAGATCCGGTGTTTTCAGTAGTACGGGCCAAATACTACCTTCCACACCAACCTGTAGTCACCCCAAGTCCTCCTCCTAGGATTCCAATTCACTAGTACTCTATCTCTCACGGATATCAGACTAATCTCTCAGTAGGCTCCTCATACACTCATCTAGATATCTATCCTAGATTAACCCTCAACTCAAAACTCTTTCTTAGTGATTCCTGCTAGATACTCCCCCTCAGCACATACTCAAGGCAACAATAGATAGCAACAACTCCTAGGCTAAGGCATCACAAATCAGGAAAATCTAGCCCTAAATATGAAATACCTAGCCTATCCTCTAGCATGCATCCTTAACATCTCATAAATATCTCATAACACAAATAAGTAAGGGTATTTTGGGAAATCACCGTTCGGCTCTGGCTGATTGTACACACTGCTCCAACTCGTTTTTCTCTTAACTCTTTCTCATTTTTGGAAAAATCACTTCTTTTGAAAAAATTTCTCAAATCCTCAGTTTGAGTCCAGACACACTCGAAGGTATATCCGAATCCCTCAAACCAAGGCTCTAATACCAACTTGTAACACCGTAAATTTTCAAACAAAATTTTTCATTTTTAAAAAATCATATAATTCTCATAAACATAGTTCTCAAATTTCCAAAATGACAATTTATCAAAAACACATGTTCATAAATGGTTTAAACACAATCCAGGATCCTCAAAACATAACTCCGCCTCGTGTGTACAATCAAGCCGGTGCCTTCCCTTGATCCTGAGAAGTACCTGAAACACATAACATATAACACGGTAAGCACGAAGCTTAGTGAGCTCCCCAAAATACCACACACATCTCATTAGCCTCTCATGGTCATACTCAAATAAGACCCTCCGGTCAATGTATCTCAGTGGAACCCTCCGGTCCTAACTCAGTAAGCTCAGAATAATACACAACATAAATCACAAAGACATAATGCAGGATATCACAATACTCAATATAAACACATAAGACCCTCCGGTCACACAAAGATTACCACTTTAGGTAAGTATGGTGAGAAGACTCACCTCGTAAGCAAACAAATGAATCTCGTACACGAATCACCGATCTAGCCTCCGCCTAACACATATGATAATTATCTCTAATTAACACTCTATTCACAACTCTAAATAACCAAAGGCTATTCTCTCTCTCGAACACTTGGAATGGGTAAAAGACCATTCTACCCCTCCATGGTCACCGTACCCCTGTCTTGACCAAACCCTAAAGTCAATTGAAGTCAACACTCAAGTCAATAGACCATGTTGACCCGACTCGTATAGTGCATCTATTTGACTCGTCGAGTCCCCTTGTTCCTTCAGAAAAGTCGCGAAAACCCAACTTAACTCGTCGAGTTGTCTCATCAACTCGCCGAGTTACTCATGTCAGACTCATCGGGGAAAACCCTAGCCGACTCGTCGAGTTGGCTCATCAACTCGGTGAGTCCCTTAAGTCCTATTTCTCATTCAGACGTTTCAAGTCAGATTTACAACCCCCAAACCTAGATCTAGCCTCCCAAGGCTGAAGTACTACGTAAAGATACAATCTTTACGTCCATGCATGACACTTAGGGCTTGAAATTCCAAAACAAACTCCATTTAGGGTCTTACGCATAAAAGCTACTCTATAGTTGGATAGAGCTGGGACCTTTGGACTCTAGGAACCTTACAAGGTCTAGATCTGAAGTCTCAAACTCTTGGTGAGTTGAATACACTCAAAGCCTCTTGAAAAGATGAAATAAGCCCTAAACTCCATGAAAAATGAGATCTAATCACAACAATGAGCAAGGTGAAGACTTTTTACCTTTAACAGAAGCTATAGACGAATTAACACCAGATCCAACAGTCTCTTCTCGATCCATGCTTCAATACTCCACTCTCATCTTCAAAAAGTGTACTAAAATGCCCAAAGATTAGCTCTCTCTCTCTCTCTCTCTCTCTCTCTATTAGCCCAATATAGGCGATTAGGGTTTCACACAGGGGAGTAAGGTGGTTGGTGAAGGCGGAAATGAGGGATTAAGGTCCTTTAAATAGGGCCCAACCCCGGAGAATTAGGGTTTCCTCTCACATCGCCAACTCGCCGAGTTGGTCTCTCTGACTCGTCGAGTTGGTCATAAAACCCACGTGGTCAATCCGCCTCTACTCGACGAGTTGGGGCATCCAACTCGTCGAGTTGGTTAAACAACTCATAAATAAATGTATATATATATTATACCTGGGAGTCGGATGTTGTAATTAATACTTTTGAATTTTGATATAGGCTACCTATGTAGATGTTTGTAGTGGATATGTTGGATTTGGAAAGTAATTCTTCTACCTTAAACAATTTTATATACAAAGTGAGAAATCTTTCTACCTTAAACTATTTATAAACAATTTTACAAATATGCAATTTCTTTTAAATTGTTAAGTATTAATATTCTGAATTGAAAACAATAATAACAATTATGAAATGAACATATACAAAGTAAAAATATACAAACAAAAGTTTATGATTTCAATGCTAAAATCATCACCATCTCCTCCACCTCCACCCTTAAACAACGTCATTATTTTTTCATTTAAATGCATTTATATGTTTTATTAACAATATTAATAATACAAGTTCAAAAAATAGTAATCTTATTTATATTTTTAATAATAATAATAATAATAATAATAATAATAAGGGTTTTGTTTGCAAAAAAAGTCATAATATTTTTGTTTACAGAAAAGTCCCAATATTTTGGGTTAGTTTACGAAATAGTCCAAAATTAATTTGGTATCGGTTTCAACCGGTCAAAAAGGGTCAAACTATAAATTTTTGCCAGTTTTTAGGACTTTTTCGTTCAAAAAAAAATCTTGGGATTAAAGTGTAACTTTTCCGTAAATATTGAGACTTTTCTGGAGATTTCCCCAAAAAAACCTGAAACTCAATTTTTTTTTATAGATTTTTAGTAATAGAAAAGAGTTGAAATAATTTCGGAACCTTCAAGATAACCTGGGCAAGGGAAAATCGTTGATTATAAGAGTTTGTGGTTAGGTCATGTGCGAATCAACCAAAAACCAATCCACAAAACCCATATGAAAATTAGGGTTTTAATAGACGGAAAGGAACGACAAAGGAAGCAGAGTTGGTGAGTAGTGGGTAAGGCAATGTTGATCACAGTCGTCGTCGTTCCTTTTCTGTTACTCTTTGGAGTCGATTGGTAGATAAGCAATAAAAGAGGATGATTAATCTGAGAGGGAGAGGAAGCAGTAGCTGTGAAGTAGGTGTGAGGTAGAGTGAGTCGGTGGAGTAGAACAGAACAGGTACGTGTTGCTTCCTAACCTACCGAAGAAGGTTGAGATTAGAGTCGGCATCTCCGACTGGACGCCACCGCTCCCGTATTCGGTGGTCAGCACCATCTCCATCGATAATATATAAAACCTACAAAAGAGTTACAAAATCTACAAAATAGTTACAAATTTTTGCAGATTGATTTTGTATTCTTCATAATTTACCTCCAAAGACTTCTCTATTTGCGCTTCACTTCTGGAAGCATCTTCAACATTTATAGAAAGAATAGCAGCAACCCTATTTACACAATAAATCTTCCTAACTTGAACTTCATCCTATCAATTAACTACAAATGCTTAGTGTTGTTGGTTCAAAAGTTAGAGAAAAGTATTTGAAAAAAAAAACACTTATGTATTTCATCTGCCGAAAGGTATCTTTGATGGCTTGTGGGGGAACTTTTACCACTCCTTCAATGTCAACAAAGGATTCTTTGCGAATCGTCTGAATCCGCCCCCTTATTAGCACAATGCGGTCTTTGAGTTCTTCCAGCACAGAGTTTCAAAAGTGGAATATAAAGTAGATAAAAAAATGGTAGATTGTTGGTGGGAAAAATAAGCATGGGACACGTATCTAAGTGGTGGAAAACAAAGGCGGACACGTATCTAGGCGGTGGAAAACAAAAGGCAGCACACGTAACCCTAATCGAAATCCCAGTTTTTTATTAAAAAAAATCCACCAATGATAGAAAATAACGGTTCACAAAGGTATCTTAGGATGTATATATAAATATATATATATATATATATATATATATATATATATATATATATATATATATATAGAGAGAGAGAGAGAGAGAGAGAGGATGGTTCAATTGAGAAAAAAAGGTTGAGAATGGGGGAACCATTCTCAGCCAATCATTTAATGAGCTTAAAAAACACACGGTGGCAAACTTGTAAATAATCCAAATACATTAATGAGCGGTGGCAAATTTGTCTTGGACTCCATCAATATCTTCGTCTCTAATCTACACATCACCACTACATCTCTCATCCTACCACATAAGCAACCGTGAATCTGGGTCACGAAATCCACTTGATGGCGACGATTTGGCACCGCCGTCAGAGGAGACGATTTAGCACCACCATTGCAGATCTAACTCCGATTAGGGTTATCATCACCATCTCAGACAACGGCGACCTCGAACTTCATCTTTGTCCTTATCCGACAACCGCTAAGAGAAAATAAGCAGCGTTACATGGATCAAATTCCATGGCAACCACTAGTGTAATGGGAACAGAATGTGAAGTTGGAGTAGGAGCAGATGACGGCACCGACGATGAAAAACCACCACATTGTAGCTTCCTACAATCAACAGGACCAACATTTCTAGAGGAACACTCCCCCACCAGCCAAAGTATCATGTTTTTAACATTTTTAAAAAAATTAACTTGTATGCACTCCAACTGTTTGATGAAATGCATAAACTAAATTATCACGTTATATTCACATATGAATATGTTTTTTCACCTGAATCAGTATATGATTATTAAAACAAAAAAAATATGCAAGTCTGTATGTTATTCATATGTGAATAACATATAAAAATTATATATATATATATATATATATATATTTGTGAAAACACCTTGTAATATTCATATGTGAATATACTGTGTAATATTCATAAGTGAATATATCATCTAATATTCACAAGTGAATATACTATGCAATACCCACATGTGATATACCATGTAATACTATGTAATATTCACATATGAAAATATCATATAATATTCATAAGTGAATATATCATCTAATATTCACAAGTGAATATACTATGTAATATTCACAAGTGAATGCATCGTCTAATATTTAAATATGAATATACTATGTTTATTATATGTTATATTCATATATGAATGATACTTAAATTGTAAAAAAAAATTAATCATACTTTTTATTGATAAGTGAATAACGAATGTACTGTAATAAAAATTTGATGCATTTTTATTCACTTATGAATATCGATAGCTGAAAATATAAAAAAAATAATTTTTTTATTTTATCTTAAAACTATATCAATATGGATGTCTATTTGTAGAGAATAAAAAATCATGAATTTTGGTATATTTAAAATCTTTTTTCGATAAAAATATATTCTTAAAAATTAAAAAAAAAACGAAAAAACTATGTTTTGTATATATTAAGGTAATTATTAGCATAATTTAAGGAAATATGTTTTGTTGAAAATACATGTCTATTCCTTTCCCATTTCCGCTGGTACGACGGGGACTTTTGCGGCAAAAATAAATGAGTGACTGAGAATGATTCCCCCATTCTTAACTTTTTTTTATTTTCTCAATTGAACTTACCTATATATATATATATATATATATATATATATATATATATATATATATATATATATATATCTTTACTATCTAATAAAAGAAATCTCACTATTTCTATAAATAGATTCAATATAATAATAATATTTTTTTAGACTAAACTGCACAAATGGTCCTTGTGGTTTGCTCAAAATTGCCACTTTGGTCCAAAAAAGTTTGGACTAGCACCACTGGTCCAAAGTTTTCATTTTGTTGCTTGTTTGGTCCAATCTATTCTGATTTTTTTCAAAATGACGAATTTACCCTTTTTAATATGATTTTCTCTTTTTTGTTAATTGTTTTCCTGATTTTCAGATTTGAAAAAATAAAAAAAATAAATAATTAAATTAAATTTCTCTCTCTCTCTCTCTCTCTCTCTCTCTCTCTCTCTAACAAATCAAAATCTGCAGTCGATCGTCTAGATGTTCATATCCAATCACCAAATGAAATCAATAAACTCTTTAGGATTTTTCAAAACTTCATATTCAATCTCTAGATTAACCGTGAACAGAATCAGTAAAATTTATGGGTATCTTCAAATCTAGAACCTGTAACAAAATCATAAAATTTGTGGGAATCTTCAAACCCAGAACCTGTAACAAAATCATCTTCTTTAACCTAACCTAGGAAATTTTTAGAACTTCACCTCCAACCTCCAAATCGGCGGCAGCTACCACATCTGATATCACCATGGACCAATTTCCTCAACACTAAACAAATGACAGAGCTTTGACTCTATTTAGATCTGATTTTGAATCGATGACATAACTGATGATTCTTGAGTTATAGAGAAGTAATCCTAAAACTTTTTTTGGTTTTTGATTTCTTGAACTTGGACTTTTCTGGTGATGATTATTGATTCTTGAACATGGATGTCGTAGCTGATGATTCTTGATTCAGAGACTTGACGATTGCCTCCGGTATTGCATTGTTGTTGGTAAAAAGACATCCCCCTCAATCTGTTGCTGCTTCCAATCGGGTCCCTCTTCTCAATCAGACAAAGGCAGAGGACCGGAGTCCTTATTCCTCCTTCGTGTGTTGCTGACCGATTGAATCAGAAGAAGAAAGAAGACGATGACGGTTTCAAGATGAACAGAACACAAGCCTTAGCACCGACCACGCCGTCTCTCGACCCTCCTGGCTCCATCAAACGACCCTCAGGTGAGCTTCAGCTTCAGAGGCTGCGGCCATTCTCATTTCCTAAAACCGTAGGGTTTTCAGAGGTTGCGGTCGATTCAATCCCTAGTTTCGATCTTTGTGTCACAGCCTAGAACTTTTAGGGTTAGGGTTTCGCTACCAGAGCTTCGATCTGGTGGCGTTCATCTTTTCTGTCGGTGGTGTTCATCTTTTCTGCCTGTGGTGTTCACAATTTCCGGCGAGAGTAAAGCCTGGGTGAGGGAGTAAGGGTAGTGACGTTCTCTGAGAGAGAGAGAGAGAGAGAGAGAGAGAGAGAGATTTTTTATTTTTATTTTTTTTATTTTGTTATAAAAAATTATAAAAATAAAATAGAAAATGAAAATTTTCTTTTTTCTTTTTTTCTTTTAATCATAAAAAGTATTTAAATAATAAAAAAACTGAAAAAGAAAAAAAAATAAGGGCAAAATAGTCATTATGAAAAAGTTTATAGAAAAGTGGATCAAACTCGCAACAAAATGAAAAGTTTTGACCTCTGGTGCTAGTCCAAACCTTTTTGGACCAAAGTGACAATTTTCAGCTAACCACAGGAATCATTTGTGCAGTTTTTGTCTATTTTTTAAGACGTTCAAATCATTAAGACAATAATACAAGTAGCCATCAATAAAATAATAATATTTTTAAGGTTGTACAAAACATGAACGAATGAAGTACACTTAACCAATGCATATAAACTTCTGGTTTGACCGAGTTCTTTAGTCCAAATGATGAGTTGTGAAGAAGCCTAAGATCCCGGAAAAAATCATTTCAGTTGTTGCCCCCCTTCCCCTATATCCGTTCTTCTTCTCCTTCGCAGAAATCATCCCGTTTCTCTTTCTACTAAACGAGTTTTCTTCTTCTCTCGGTAAAAAAAACCCTAAGACCACCCCTCAGTTACGTCGTACTTACCACCACGGTTTTTCTTTCTTCCACCAACAAACAAACCCTAATGGAAATCTTCAGCATAATTGATGCCGCCTCCCCACACCTTCGTCTTCTCCATCAATGTCCTCCATGACCCACTCAAGCATTTGTTCCATCGTCTCTGTCGGAACTCCCGAAGCCATCACCTCCGTCGACCGCCACTAGAACTATTGTCACAGATAAACAAACACTTTTCATTGGTCATTTCTTTAATTTATATATACTTTTTACATTTTAATCTTGATTATCTCTCTACACCTCAACCAATCTTACTGAGTTAATTTTAAAATTTTGAATTTTTGTTGCAGTAGTAGCAGATGAATAACTTTGAAGAGGAATGAGTTCTTGGAAGATAGGATGTTGGTAAAAATCATCTTCTCGAACTGTCTCTCTCTATCTCTACAAACAAATCTGATGATGTCGAATCGTTAAGCTAAATTGATTCTCCTCCTCTCTGCAACCAAAATGCGTCTCTTTGCCTCTCTCCATTCAAGATTAAGAAAAACCCTAGATATCCCCCAAAAATTGATGCCACTCTTTCATCATCCTCGAATAACCCATCTCGAGATGGATGCGAAAGACATCCCAACACCGCCATCCTCCAGATCTTTCAACCCCTGATGCTATGTCGCTCGATTTATGTTATTTTTTTGTTTTTACTTTTTAGATCTTTTATCTTCGGTTAAATGAGGAGTATGACGTCTTTGATTTTGTCAGAGTCTGTGAAATAAGTACGGCGTCTTTGATTTCTGCCAGAAGTGAGGAGCTTGGCGAGATTTTGATTCTTTTTTGGTGCTCTAGAATGTTATCAAGTATTAGCAGGTAATTAAATTTTTCTATGTTTTTTAATCATTTGATTTCGTTTTTCGTGTTCAATTCCATGAAGTTCTTGAATACGCTAGATGTACAAAATCAATCTACCTTCTGATTCACCGGGTTCTCTATCTTTTTTTCTTTTAACAGGTATGCTTTTGATTCTTAATTTGTATATTTATTGGTGTAATGAATCGTTTTAGCTAGGGCATTATAACTCATGACATTGGCTGACCATGGCTGCACACTCTTCCAGCCAATGTCATGCCGCTCACAAATGATGTTCTTACTGTTCCTAAAGTGAACTTAAAGAAACATTTATCTTCACCGTGCTTGGATCCTTGGATACATTCTTCCTTTTTTGTAAACCTAAAAATCTAAGTCCATTATCTATTTTGAGCATCTCATCGTTGCCTCCATAACAGATAGTAGTTCTCATAAAATCTACTCCCAACTCTTATTTGAATAATGAAATATTTGAATAGAAGTAGAAAAAATGACTGGTCCAGGTTAGCAAATGTACAACTTTTTAAGCATGAGGTACAGTTGATCAATGTTCTGGCCACCATTTTAACGTTTCAGGCGGTAAGTTTTTCGATCCTAATGAAATCAAGCACGTACTGGAGTTGGGACAGGAACCCTGCTTCATCTGAAAAACTAGCTCTCGCAAGAAGCCTAACGAGGTACAATTGTTCAAATTTTAAATTTTTTTCATTCTTCATCTTTTTTCATGTGTTTCTTTAATTTAGTGTTTATTTCAGTCAATGTAGAGCATTTGATATATGGATAGGGTTCAATTAGTATGTGAATGTGGAGATGAGCAATAGGAAAGATATACGTAGGAGATTAACATTCAACTATATATTGGCAGTTCATGAGTGATTTGTTAGGTATGTTCGAAAGTACCATAGAAAACTACTAAACATCCACTGGTTAAAATATGATACATAAATCTCTTTTCACTAGGGTCAAAATCGTCAAATTGGTCGACACCAAAAGTCGAAACATCGGGTTTTGTACCACCTACACAAATGACAGATTCAAGATTTCTAACAAGAGTACGCACTATAATTATAAAAAAATAATTAATATGTATTACTACTACACTATAGATGTTATAAAAAGAAAATTTAAAGTTAGTGCATGCATTTCCTAATTAAACACTTAATTATGAATCAACCATTCACTTGCATCCATGGCTATGATGTATAGATTTGAATAAAAAATGCAATTTGAGAAGCAGTGATTTTTTTGCATACTCAATTTATGCATATTGGCTTTAAGAGTTTGACTGAAACTGTGATTATGATATGGTTTGTGATGTTGAAGGGTCGATGCATTTAATTACATATTTAATCTTCATTCATTTTTGCTATTGACTTTATAAAAATAAACCATCATCTTTTCTATCATTATTCATATTTATTTGAGACATTTTTATTGATTATTTTAAAATATCTAGCCATAAGGTATCTATTTTTTTTAAATATTTTGTTTGTTTTGATATAAACACAGATGAAACAGCCGGCAAAATATTGGGACAAGCGGATCAACCTTATTTTTTAAGCAATTAAGTGTCAAGGTGTTTGTAATTTAATGGATCATATACCGGTTCCTGGGAGGTAAAATGTATTATGGCACATGCTTATGACCAATAATTGAAACGCTCGCGATTCATGATTGGTATTTGATAAATGTTTTACCAATGCTAAGTAGGTTTGATAAATCTTTCTTTTACATACTAATGGGAGAATAAGTAAATGTCATTACCTTTAATGTTCGATATGATGAAATTAAAGGAATGGAATGTTGATTCCATTGAAGAGAAAAAAAAAACAAAACAAAACAAAAATGGACACCGTGTAATAATAAAATCATACAAATGGCTCATGTGTAATGGTTTAATGAAAACATACAAAAATGGTCCTAATGTAGTAAAATTAAAAAAAAAATTGTCATGTAATAGAAAAAACAATGTTTTCATGCTATAAGTGAGTAGAATGCCTTAAAAAAACAATGTTTACATGATTAACAGTTATAGGATATGTATATGCTCATTTTGTTTTTATGTTTGTGTTGTAGGATTAAATACAAGAAATAGCATCATACTTACTTGTGTATTTAATATGAGCATTCTACTTTTATTGATTTGTTTATTATAACATTCAACTTTTGTTTCTTCTAATTAACATTTTACAAAATGGTACTTTGAAAATTCTATCCAATTACAACGATGTTATTTAAACTTAAAGATGTTTTCATTTCTATGACGAAGACATGTTTCAAAACATATAACATACCAAAATACATTTTATGCACTCTCCACCAACATTCTAAATTAAAATCTATCAAACAACGTGAAATTAAACTTTAAACATATTGTATAAAAAATTGATCGCTTAACCTTCCGCCGCAATGTGCGACCTTAAAACCTTGTTGTTCACACTTTTGTAAAAAGAGGAGAACCCATAGGTAGTCTTTTGTAACCTTTTTAACATTTCTAATTGTTTTTCAACTTCTGAAGGCTTTTTTAGTTGTTTGAACCTTATTTCTCTGTCTATTCCTTTTTATCATATACAGATCAAAAATGTAAAATAAATAAATTATGGAGGATATTACCCATTGTTCATGCCTTTAACCTTTACCTGCAAGCCTTATTTTTATTGCTAGAGGCGAAGTCACAAGGCCTTACAATAATGCAGCTCCGCTCCAAAGTCTTGGATGTAATTCTACCGTAATGTCCGTGTTTCTAGGCTAGACATTAATATTGACGTTATAATCTAGGTTAACCTTTGTAACTCATTTTGAGGAAATGAAAAGGAATTATGTGAATATTATGTGAATTATGTGTTTTATGCTTAATTATTAGGGTTTAATTAATTAAGAATAAAAATGAGCGTCAAAAATAAATATTAGATAAAGCCGATATCTATTAAAAAAGTTGTAGTGGTTGTGCGAAGGATTACAGATATATAAAAAATACCAAAATCCAAGTTATAACGAAGAAGTTATGACCTGTCGAAGTTTCACGACAAAACCGGCACGGTGCCGAATGACGTAAAAAGTGAGTTTTTGATAAACTACTTTTTAGCCTTAGTGATCTAAACGAAAGTCGTAGTGTTCGTTAAACCGAGAGTAGTTATAAAAAGAACGCCCAAATCTGACTTTGTATGAGGAAGTTATGATTTTTCGAAGTTTCAGCTTAGCAGTAGACAGCTAAAAACTCGAATTTTAGATCGAGTGATTTTTAGCCGACACGACCTAAAAGAGAATCGAAGGTCTCGTCAATAGTATCACATCGGTAAAAAGACAGACGAAAACGGACTTCGGATGAAGAAGTTATGAATTTTTAACGGATTTC